ATGTCTTTGCTTCTGACCTTCGATGATCCAGTACAACCGTACTAATAAGCAAAACTTACTCTAGACAAACATTTGTGTGTCTTTTTTTTACTGCTGAAGTGTGTTGAAATTTCTTCTTCTGCATTCTATTGTACAGATGTAAATTTACTTTGCCTTCAGCCTGAGGCTTATTCATTTCACTTTTGGTGTGAAAAGGCTTTTATATTTGCCAAAAATATAACTTTTTTATTTTAAAAACAAACAAGCAAGCCCTGTCCAGATTTAAAAAGTAATGCAAAAGTAACGTAACACATTACTTTCCATAAAAAGTAACTAAGTAACCTAATTGATTACTTGTTTTATGGAGTAACGCAATATTGTAATGCATTACTTTTAAAAGTAACTTTCCCCAACACTGCGTATGAAGTACCTTGATCTATTGCAGATAAAATCTTGAGGTTTTCATCACTAGCTGTTTCTAAAGTCCTGCATGAGAGAATGTGTGAGACTAAAACATACCTTTGTTTGAAATAAGTATATTATTACTATAGATATATTACAAGTATATTGAAATAAGTATTGTGCATACCTTAGTGATATGTTCAAGATAGAGACTGCAAGCATCTTGGAGGCTCATTTGAATAACAAACTCAATGAGCTGATCTTCATCCATTCATTCCATGTAGCCCATTGTAGTTTCAGAGCTGAAAAAGATGCACACATGAAAAAATCTCGATGAAAACTTGAGTCATGCAGATGGATTATAAAACTGACACAACTTCGACAATTTCCAGTCGTCACTATGAATCTGTACTGAAACTTTTTAATTAACTATCGGAAGAAATCTCATGCACCTTGCAGCGCTGCAAAACAGACTGAGTGTGTCTTCACAGGTCCTGGAGAATATATTTGGTGCTGACCTGCTTTTGACACTCTAGGAATGCGGGTCACTTTGACACGACCAGCCAAAAGGGTTCGAGTTCCCTCACGTGTAGCGGCTCACAGACACACATGGTCTTAGACAGAAGACATAAAGAACTCCACAAGACTGATACAAATACACATTATCTGAATGAGGATTGTTTCATGATGTTCAGCTTTATGTGTGTGTGTTTATGTGCTTAATGTGCAGGTAATTGTTGCTCATGTTCAGTCTTTGGTGGAATATTTGGAACCAAATCCATTTGACTGATTTGATTGTTCATGTCTGTTAATAATCTGCCTTTTTAAACATCTGCCTTTTCACAATGCAGAATCTGTTTTGCACTCAATAAATTTGACATAAAAAAAAACACTAAAATACAGAATGGATATGCTCATTATTATTAATTAGGTTCACTTATGAAGTTTGGTGACCTTAATGAAGCTTCCAGGCACTTGACCTTTTCAAATACAATCTAATTCTTTTTGACGTTAGAATGTCTATCTTTGCCCATATGTCCCCTTCATTAGATGTCTAATATAAGGTTTCAGTTATTACTAACACCAACAGCTCACATGAGTGGAAAAACAGTCAATCCCTCTACGCTAGGAAGGTCAAACTCAGTTCCTGGAGGGCTGGAGCCCTGCAGAGTTTTGTTCCAACACACATACCAAGTAGTCTTCAAATAAGCCTGAAGGACTTGATTAGTTGGAGCAGGTGTGTGTTGAATCTAGACTCTGCAGGGCTCCGGCCCTCCAGGAATTGAGTTTGACTCCCCTGCTCTACACCAATGGTATATTTGGCTATTGAAAACCTAATTTGTTGCCAGTAGGTGGCGTATTTACAATAAAGTAAACATTCTGTAACTTTTGGGTCACAGGAAATAACGCCATCAGGTGTTAGACATGATCAACTTACATATATATACATCCTCTCACGGTTTCACAGAACGAGGGTTACCATCAAGCCACAACAGAATCGCTGTTAAATAAAATAAAATAAATTAAAATAAAATAATCAGTGTGTTAACGTGCTCTCCCTTGTGAACAATAAGTGGATCTGCATTATTATACAGTATTAACTTTAAAAAGTACCTAATCCTTTTCCTCCTGATGAGCCACTTACCTGAATTTAGTTCCAACCCATGGTTAAAAACAGCTGAAGCAGCTAATCAAGGTCTTTGGGAAGCTAGAAACTTCCAGGCTTGGACTGTTTTGTGACACAATTCATATCTATTCAATAAAGCCTTAATTTGAATAAACAAATGATTTTATTTTATTTACTAGTTATGTATGTGTTATCATTTTGATCAAGTTTGATAAAGTTCTTACCATTTGTGGGATTGTTTGCACATATGCACAACAGCTTATACGGAGAAAAGTGTTTTGTGTATGTTACTCAAATGATGCATATTTCATTCTAAAGAGGTTTTTCTTAAAAGTATTTCTGCAGAGATGAAACAGTGAAATTCATCATATAAATAAACAGTGATTTAGTGTGGGAAATAATTGGGTGATTTACAAAAATATGAAATCTTGCAGTTTGCTTCACAAAGGTAAGTCAACTTTTGTTTGTCTTAGGAACACAAATGAAGATTCTCTTTATTAAACTCTTAATTTTTTCCAGTATAAAATCACAAAAGCTAAAACAAAATGAGGTATGAAAATGTTGATGTGCAGGGAATAATTATGTGCTTTTTATACATGAAAGTCTTGGTTCAAATCCTGCTATTTTTAAATTTGAGTGTAAAAAATTATCAAACTTGAAGCTTTAATTTAACATGCATAGCTCATTGGCTCAAAAAGTAAAATATTGTATTTTATGCATGGAGTCTTTTGTTCAAAACCTATTGCATTTAAAACAAAACTCTCAATAAAACCATGCCCACAAACACTTTTTAAGTTGTGTTTTAATCCTGAAGTTAAATCCCAATAAAACGAGTGTCACGCGACTCACCTGTAAGTAACTTTCTGAAAGTGTTTGTTTCAGTTTCTGTGAGTGTGAGTAAGAAATGCCAGAGCAGGGCAGCTTTGTCAGTTCATTTAGATTCATGTAGTGATGAATTCAACGGACACTACAGAGCGAAAACACTCGGAACTAAAGCCTTGGAAAAAAGATGAATTTCGATGAGGTCTTTAACCTAAAATGATGTTGTTTAAACTGTGTTTGTTATTGAACAGCTAGCAATGTATTCAGACACTCACATCTTCTATGAAGGACTTTGCTGTTTTTCTGCTGAACCTGTCAGACCTTCAGAATAACAAAGGATTCAGTTGCGCTTCCTTTATCATCTTTAAATGAATGTTATATATTATAAAGTGGAATAATAAAGAATCGTGCTGTTTGCCTCTTTTGAATGTGTGAATGTATATGCACATTTATTTAATTAAAAACGTATTAACTAAGCTGGGGAGAAAAGTAGATTGAACTAAAAGATTATTAAAGGTACAGGATTGCTTACATATAATATACTCTGCAATCTTTTTACACTGTTTAGGAATTCAGTTCATGTACTTAGTTTATATTTTTAACTATTATTTATTTTGAGTTTTTCTAGATGCAGTATGTCTGATAATGTCTGTATTTGTGTCTTGACTCCAGAATAAGTGATGTCTTGTTGGCTGTAAACTGGTCCGGCTGAAGCAGAGCTCTGGGACGTGTGGACAGACATTGACTGTAATGATGGACATCTGCTCAGGGACAGGTAATGTATCTCATGTGTGAATGTGTGTTCTAGTGCACTAAACATGTAGGTTACCAGCATTTTCTTTTTGAAGGGCCTCCTCTTTGAAAAGCAAATGATGGTAACCTAAGCAGATGGGGAAGGGACGGGGGATGAGAATTTTTATGCAGCTTTATTTATTTTTTTCAGTCTGTGCAAAAGTATAACCACTGCGGGCCACGGTGCTGGAAGCTCCAGGGGCAGGGGGAGACCGTACTGATATCCCCCTTCTTCAGGCACGCCTTCACACACACTCCAGCATTCACTCGTATCGCAGAGACCTGGCTGGGATCAAACCAGCAACCTCTGAACCGTGAGGCAGCGCTCTCACCAGTGAGCCACAGATCTCTTGTTGGAGCATATGAAGGAACTTATATCTGACTGTTTACCTGTGATTTCCCAATAAAGATGTTGAAGGAAGCTCTGTGTGGGATTTAAACCCACGTCTCCATCACAGTCTCATCCTCTTCAAAGAACGTGTGTTCATCCACTAATCCATCATGAATTCTACGTTGTGTTTTGGTGTTTAAGTGACTTTGTTGGCTGTGATTGATTTAAAGTAAGCAATAGTGGGAGTTGAACTCAGGTCTCCCGGATTAAAACACAAAGCTTTAGCTCCTGAGCCACAGGGCCTGCGGCTTTTTTTGAGAGATTTGTTCTAAATGATGAATAACTTTAATGACTGTGGGATTTGAACCCAGACTTTTATGTGTGCAATTGAAGCGTTTAACCACTGAGCCACAGAAGCTGTGAGGTTTGTTTGTTTTTTTTTTCTGGTCATAGACTGAGTAAAAATCATTCATGACATCTAAACACATGTCTCTGGCGCAGGTTGATGTTAAGTCACTTGTTCAGCCTCTGCACCACTGCGCTTTAGTAGTTTTCAACGTTTTATCTTGTTTGAATCTCATTTTAAGTGATAAAACAATGGATTTAATCCAGTAATGTCATAGCCAAAGGTGAACAATTATCCACTGTACCACAGTGACTGAGCTAAAAACATTTTGGTTTTTGGTCTTTTACATTAGAATTTATTACTATCAGTTAGATTTTTTTGTAGTTTAAACCTCAAGACTTTGTGCTTTCGTTTAAATATGTATTAAGATTGTCACCATCACAAACACTCAATTATTGTCCTTGATAGTCACTGACATTGCAAGAACTTTGAATTTAAAATCCAGAACTGTTATTATCCGGCTAACCAATATATACACTAATTTATATACTTTATACACTAATTGGCCACAACAGGGAGATGAACACATATTTTCACTTAATTAGCAGGGATTTTTCTGTTATGATAGAAACTAAAGTACCTGCCACTGTCATAGGTGGGTATTGGAAATCAAATATTGGTTGAATATTTAAATATTCGTAAAAAAGTATTGATAAATATCACCATGTCCTGAGACTCTCTGAGTGGTTTGAGGATGTTTGGTAGTTACAGAGACTAGTTGACCGACCAAAGATCACATGAGGCTCATGAGAAGATAAGAGCCTCAGTCACAAGTGTGAGTGTCGCCCTCATGGGGAATATCCAGGTTCAAATCTTGTGCACATTAAAATGATGAAATAAGACCAAAGTCCAAAAAAAAAAAAAAAAGGCAACATACAGGTTTGCTGGTAGTTTAGTGGTCTGAGTGTCATTCCTTCCTGAGGAAGATAATGGTTTGAATCTTGCTCTTGTGGTGGAAAAATGCTTTAGTTTCACTGGTTTTGCCTGAAAAACTACGATGAAAACAGCCTGGTCATCACAGAAGTGTGGTTGTTGGGATGCTTGTCTGATCAAGATCTGGGGAAGCTGTAAGCTGCATGTAACTGAGACTCTGATCTTCTCATGAACCTCATGTGATCTTTGGTCAGTCATCTGTAACTACCAAACATCCTCATTTAGTCTCAGGACATGGTGACATTGATCAATCCTTATTATGAACATTTAAATATTCAATCGGTATTTTATTTCTACTACTCAAAGATAAAATGCTGGCTATGACAGTGGCTGTTGCAGTTGCAGTACTTTAGTTTCTTCCATAGCAGAAAAATCCCTATTAATTAAGTGAAGATATGTGTTCACCTCTCTCTTGTGGTCAATCAGTGTATCAGCATTAATCAGTGTCACAGTCGCTCTGGCCAGTCGTAGGTGAGAAGACTTATTTAAGACCCAAAGGAGGTTTTTGTCACTTAAACTGGAATCAGAGGAAAGTTACTGCCTATATTTCTATAGCTATAGTTTCTACAAATAATAAATCTTGTTTTAAATTATTTTGCATTGATTTAAAATTATTTTATAAATTATTGATTACTGAATTATTGAAAAAAACTTGAAAAAATGATTTCCTAAAATAAATTATATTTTTAAACCTCTAGTAAGAGAAACTAAACCACCCTCCTGTGGTGAATTTTAGGTATTATACTGCTGCAACTAATTTAAGACTTCGTTTACAACGATTTGATTTATATATGTAAAATATTTCCGAAAAACATGTTTAATAGTGCCAGCGCTAGAATACTTGTAAGGAACAAAGTACAATGGTGTTGTTGTGACATTGAATTTGTACAATATGTTTTATTCATTTTGTTAAAAAAAAATTACATTGTTTTAAAAAGTCATTTAAAAATTACATTATTATTAGTATTAGTATTATTTAGTAAGACGAGGCAGACAAATTTAATTTTAAGAGATTAGTTTCAAGATGTAATAGATCATTTTAAAAATCGCATGTGTTTAAATGCATGAGTCGTGCTTTGTTTTGGTCGATTATGATGATGGCTGCTGTAGTGAAACCTGAATTATCGCCATACTACAGAAATAGGGTTTGTAATAATACAAATGATTCGTTTGGTAGTTTAATGTCCTTTTGGAGCTGTAAATGTCATGCATGGGAAATCAAGTTGTGCATTTGATACTTCAAAGTGAGATTTATATGACTATTAATGGTAAATGTTGTATTAATGGTTAAATGTTGAATTACTTACGTTATGCATACGTTGTTTTGACGCGTTCATTAAAGAGTAACGTTCATGCATGGAAATATGCATCTTTTGATCGTCTTATTTTTAGACCACAGGCTTGGTTGGCCTTGCTGTCTCCCACAATCCACATGAGGTGAGTGTTTTGATTTCATTTTGATCAATTCTAATTTCTGCTTGCATGTATTATTTTACTTGCATATACAATCTAGGTGTTTTGTTTTGTTTTGTTGCAAAGTTGTGTTTTAATTTAGAGGACTTGTACATATTAGAATGCTGTCAATTGAATTGTGGCTTTCTTTCCCAAAGCGTCTTCGGATTCTGTACACAAAGATCCTGGGCTCTCTACAAACTATGCCTCAGGATGCTGCCTACAGGAAATACACTGAGCAACTGATCAACCAGAGGTTCAACCACGTCAAAGCTGTGAGAAATTTAAAATAGACTTTTTGAGATTGAGGTTTAAGTATTAAAACGCATATTGATACAAGAGTCCTGATTTCTATACGTGTCAATTTTGTGCTATAAAGGAGCTAGACATAGAAAATCTTGAGAAAAAAATCAACTGTGGACAGATTGAGGAGGTTATTGCACAGGTGAGAAGATGCAATAAAGAAAGACCTCAAAGCCTCATTTACAAGAACGGAGTTTATAGAGAGTGAATACAGTGTGCTGTACCTCGGTCTGTCTGGTGTGTCTGCAGGCTGAGACTGAGCTGGCTTTGTCCAGGAAGATGACCGAATGGAAACCGTGGGAACCTCTCGTAGAGGAAGCACCGGCGAACCAGTGGAAATGGCCCATCTGAAGTCCTCATGATCTTCATGTACATATATTATGTTTATATTAAATACTGAATAAATAAACACTGTCCATTTAGGTTGTGCATTTTCTTTTTTACAGCTGTTTGTCATAGATTGAGCTGGAAATGAAACTTACTATGAACTCATAATTTCCTGTACATGTAATAAAAAATTATGAGATCATATGATATAGGAAATATTACAGAATTAACCATTCTTTCAGTTTTGACCAGGCAATGAGAGGGAACATTTACTCCAATGAAGGACCTTTAAACTAATTTAGAGTAAAATGTTTTTAATTTGGAGTTGTAGCCTTGTGCTGAATGAGACTGAGGCCCAGCTCAAGGTCCAATAAAAACTAAAAATGACCAAAAATAAACATCAATATCAATCAATTGCTAGCTGAATAACATACACAAAAAATGCAATTAAAAAAAGAAAAAATAATTTTTGGGTTTTTTTTTTTGCATTTTTATGAATTTGTGCTATATAGCGTGCCTAGGGGCTTAAATTAACATTAATATTTTGACGTAAAATTATTTGAATCTCTCAAATATTATCTTGAAAGGTCATAAAATCTGAATGTTTAATACATTACTCATCGAAATAATCAATTTTAATAATCATTTTAAGCTAAATAACGTAAATCAATTACATAATTAGAGCAAACTATTTAGCGTTTACATTTTTATGCTTTTGGTTAGTAGTACAGACATTGACTAACATTAATATTTTATGTTAAAAATTATATGTAGTCTCAAATAATATCTTGAAAGGTCAAAATCGAAATGTATAATATCTATACAAAAATTAGGAAACTTTTAAAATGCAACTCATCAAAATAATCAACGATTAGATAACCTATAGCAATTCCATAAAAAGCGGGGTAACAATTAGAGCAAAATACTCATGTTGGTTTTTATGCTTTCGGTTAGTAGACGTGCCTACAGACTTCAATTAACACGAATATTTTATGTTAAAAATTATTACATGTAGTCTCTCAATATCACTTTTTTATAAGAATTAAACAATTCATAAAAAATAATAAAGTTTAGTTTGTCACACTGCAACACTTTTAAACAAAATATTTCAATTCACCCACTTTACATTTTGTGGTTAGCAATTTGGAAGCTCAATGGAAGAAAGTACAATGTTAAGAAATGACAAACACTCGCGAATGTAGAAGAAATGATGTGCGTGTAAAATCCTGTTTGGTTTTTTATTGTGCTTGCTTGTATCCAAGTACGTTCTGTGTTAATGCTTGACAAAAGGCCTAAATGATTAGTTATGAATATGGAGATATAGAACTGAATGGTGCTTATGAAACGACACAGATTCACTGCTGATTTAAATCTAGAAGGATGCGGTACGCATTACAAATGAGAAATGTACGAAAAAATGTCTGTTACAACGTATCAACTAAGTTAATAAAGAAATTTCTCTACAATAAAAAAAACGAAACATTCAATTTCTACAATAACAAACATAGTAAAAAAAAAAGAAAGAAGCGCTAGTCATATAAATGTATTTTGGTCTGTTGGTGTGGCCGATGGTTTTATGTATTAGAACCACACCTCTCTTTTCTGAACTATGAGGCTACGTTCAAGAATGCTTTTTTATCTAAGATTTTTTACCCTAAAATAGATAGCATATGAAATCTTCTGCCCTGCTACTTATAAATATTTCTTCAACAGTTATGTCCGACTAAAATCTAAGACATCACCAGCAGTACAGCAGTCACTGCTTTTCCAAAGAGTAGAAATGTTGGCATTAGTTGCAACAGTAATATTATATCAAAGCATTTTAAAGTACAAAGGCACAATAAAAGACCAAATTATAGTATATCCTGTACCCACGTAGTCCATGTAGAGACTTTAGGAGGGTTTCAAAAACTACTTTCTCTTGATTCAGTGTACATTTCCTTGGGTGAAGCGGTCTGTATATCTACATGAGAGACTCCAGGCTTTCCGAGGGGTTGGCAGGAACCGTGCCGTTGTTTTCCGAGTAGTGAAGAGCTGTCTCGTCCTCCTTGGTGCTCACCAAACTCAGGATCGCTTTGTAGAGGAACTGATACTGATCCTGCACACACAGGAAGATGTTAAAGGAATAGTTCACCCAAAAATGAGAATTTACTGAACATTTCTCACCCTCACTCCATCTAAGATGTAGATCCTCGTTGGGACAGATTTGGAGAAATTTAGCATTAGATAACTTGGATCCTCTGCAGTGAATGGGTGCCATCAGAATGGGAGTCCAAACAGCTTACAAACGCAGCTTTTCTCTTCATAAGATGTTAACTGCTGGACTGGAGTGGTGTGGATTACTTGTGGATTATTGTGATGTTTTTATCAGCTGTTTGGACTCGGCACCCATTCACTGCAGAGGATCCATTGGTGAGCAAGTGATGCAATGCTACATTTCTCCAAATCTGTTCTGATGAAGAAACAAACTCATCTGCATCTTGGATGGCTTGAGGGTGAGGACATTTTCAGCACATTTTCATTTGTGAGTGGGACTATTCCTTTCATTCATATCTTATCAAGGTATACTATTCATCTTACAATATCGTTGAAGACTCCCGGCCTCATGAGGTTCATCATTCTGGCGGTCTGATAAACATTCACACTGTTCTCCTCTTCCAGCTGGTTAACCAGGGTGGTCAGTGAACAAAGTAAAGCAGCACTCGTCCCTCCAGACCTGCACAGAAACAGTGAGGAGTGACACTCTCCTCTATATCTGTCACTGATAAGAGTCTCTTTTGTAAATGCTATGAGACTCTACCCATCATGGATGATGGCGGGTCCCTCTCGACGCGAGCTCTCTTCTCTGATGATGTTGATGAGCTGAAAGGAGTTGCTGATGGGGCTGTCAGGGTTCGGCCAGCGAGGGCTCTGGTACTGCCGTACCTCCAGCACATAGTCATCCTGTCACACAGCCACGCAAAACAAACTTGCTCCGTAGACTTAAATGCTTCAGAGATGCAATGTCCAGTACAAAGACGACTTTCAGAAATGTTAAATGTGAAAATGTTAAATTTGCTTTGTTTTTAATGTCACAAAAACATCAAAATCAACAAAAAGACATACTTTTACATTCAAAATTTAAAGCCTATCTTAGTGCCACTAACAAGTTTTTCTGATTATTTTACATTTACATATTAAATGACATTATACATTATTACACAGTGATATTTGAATAATAGTAATTATGAATTTATAATATTCTAATTTAATAATATTATAAAGAATAGTTATAATAATATTATAAATTAATATTTTACAGTATTATAAATCGTCATTGCTTTAATGTGTCCAGATGTTTTACTTAAGTTTTTTCTTAAATTTCACATAATTTTCCAAGTGATTCTCATTAGTATTTCATTATTGTGACATAGTAAAAAATTACTGTAATTAAACATTTCTATTTAAACTAAAGGCAGTACAACTACTACTACTATTTATTTATTTATTTTCTGTTTTTACTGATTATTTTACATTTACATATTAAATAATATAATGTTGTACATTAATAGTATTGTAAATAATAATTATAAATAACATTATACATTGATTTTTTTTTACAATATTATAAATTGCCATGTGTACTGTAATGTGTCAAAATGTTTTACTTCAATTTTTTTCTTAAATTTCAAACCATTTCATGAGTGATTCACATTACTGTAATATAGTAAAAACTACTGTAATAAAATATTTGTATTTAAAATAAAGGCAGTACAACACCCACTGCCATTTATTTATTTATTTATTTTCCTGTATTGAGTTGTAAAATACGTTTAATTATCATGAAAATAATATCACAATAAAAATAAAATCAGAATGACAAAAATTCAATTTTAGACACTAAAATATGTCAATAAATTAATTTTTATGCAAAATATATATATTGTCCTGTTGATTGTGGGGTGAAATATGACCCAAACATGTTCTTGACAGGTTTTGTGAGGTTTACCCTGAGCAGCTGCAAATACTGAGTTCTGGCTACATAAATGAAATAAGTTTTATTCACCTTTAGGGCCTCCAAAATGAAGTCCTGTACCACGAGTGACTCCTCATTGGACAGGCACAGTTTGTCCTCACCCCTGAAGGTCACAGTGAAGGTCTCGCAGCTGATTGGCTGATCTTTAGTGGGCCAGTACACACACTCTCCCTCTCTGCTCTGTGACGGTCAGAAACGACAGGCCTCAGTTATTACATACAGATGTGTGCAGAAGTTTAAAGGTGTTTGTGTGCGTGTGACTCACGGCGCTCTGTGTATCTGGCAGAGAAACTATGATCTGTGCATTGTGATCCCAGATCATCCTCCAAAAGTCCTGTATGGTGTTTGGCAGAGGATTCTGGGTAACGATGAACTCGCGGCTCTGATGGTACCCCTGTAAAGGGCACAAACTCGTCTGATCACACCATATTACATACAGGAATCTAAACAGGAGCATCAAGAACAAGAGTCTCACCATTAAATAAGAGGCATTGATGTAGTCTGATGATTCTCCAGGTCCCGTAGACAGACTGACCCTTGACCTCTCCACTGAAGCACAGATGGAGCACATGTGAGGATAAAGATCAGCTACACTTTAAAAAGATCTTCAATATATTATGAATATAATTCTTGGAAGAAAACAGGTTACATTTGATATATTATTAATATGATATTTTAATAAATAATATAAATATTTATGATAAATACAATATTGATGAATATGTATAAACATTTGAATATAAATGAATATATTTTCTTTTAAAAAGACTACGCTTCACCTTTTCTATGTTTATGTATGTATAAAAATAAATATGACATTAATAAATAATACTGAATATTTATTTATAAACATTTATTCTATTTTAAATAAATAAATACACTGCATATAATTAGTGGAAAAAACAGGTTATCCTTTGAGGTTTATATTTACTTATGTACTTGTATATATAAATAAATATTATATTATTTATTCATAATAAACAAATAAACCAATCAATTATATTTTTTAATATATAAATAAATATTATATTATTTATTCATAATAAACAAATAAACCAATCAATTATATTTTTTAATATATAAATAAATAC